TCCCGCTCAAGCCTCGCCCTCACGGCCGTGAGGGACGAGCTCTCCTCCTCGGCTACTCTGCCCTCCTCGGTCACGGCAGTGTACAGGGCCTCCGTACGCCCTACTTCAGCCTCCAGTTCGCTTAGTTTTGTCCACCTTCGAGCGTAAGGCGGCCGCACACGGCGGGGTGAGCCACCGGCATCGCTTTTGAGTATCCAAGCACCAACACACTGGCCAGAGCAGATCGGGCATAGATTCATCCAGTGCCCCGCACAAGAACCATCGCACCCGGCAACTTCTATTTCACACTATATTCACAGGGTGGCGTGTTGATGGTCTGCACACGGAGATACGTGAGAGCCGAGGGACGGCGCAGGAAGCGGGAAACCCCCTCAAAGCTTCCGCGGGTGTCCAGAGGTACCTTGCGGGAGCACGAGCTACAACCTCTCAAAAACCTCACGGTTCGTTCTACGCTTCGGTGTGAAGCTGACGCCACCATCGCCGAATATACAATTGATTCAACCGACAGGACAGACCGGCAGCATAAAAGTAAAGGTAATTTGCTCAAGCCCGTATTCCAATCTCCCACCTGTCACAATCTGCACCTCGGACCATCCCGTGTAGCGGCGATGACTGTGTTTTCGAGGGACTATTCGCACCTTGTTGCTCACTGACTATCTCCTATCCTTCTGCGCCTACCTCTTTTCTCGTCGTGTACCCTGTCGTCCCCTTCATCTCACCTCTCTTCATGGGCCGCATGCTGAAGCGGCTGAAACAGCTCCACTTCTGAGTCGTCCAAACCGTCGATCTTTCCTTTCTTGTTACGGCCGTAGACTTGCCTGTCCCCATCGCTGAGTTCGAACACGCCCATTCCGTCTCGCACTCCTGCCATTCCTTGCCGAAGGACCGGCCCCCCTCTGCTATCCCCGCTGTAAATCCCACCATCGACACGCTCAGCACCCCCCTCCCCTCCCCCCCCGCTATCTACTGCTTGAACACCACCGCCTACAGGTCCTGGCGCTTGAAATGCCCTTCTTGCCTTCGATTCCCGACCAGTAGCGCCCTCGCCGTGATCTGTTTGTAACTTTTCGAAGCCCCAAGGTCCCGCAGTCTGGTCTTCATGTCGTGCCGCTTTGCGCAGAGCGTCTTCGGAACGTAGGGCATCGGCAGCCCCCCATACCCGGTCTTGGACAGTTTTTTTACGCGCCACGCTTCGGGCATGGGCTTCGTCTCTCAGTTCATGCTAGTTAGATGCAGCAGATTAGGGCCGAGGACCAGGTAACCGTGCGTGCGGACAAAACGTTTTTATCAAAAACATATTATTCTCGTTGATAAATGATGAGTGCATTGCGCGGATGTGCTTACGATTGCCTCGAATGTTGAACAATGTTGGCATCATGCGTACCTCACGTATAATCTCACGTATTATTAACAGAAAACAGTCATCAGAGATCAAAGAAAGATCCCATGAACGGCAACCGAAGCCCATACATAACCAAAGGCGAGGGGAGATAATATATACTGTTTTGTATTCCTCCTACGTATTCTCTGCACCTGAGCCTTTCCCCAAAAACTCAGAAGTGATGCACGTCGAGCGGATTTTTCATCGGAGCGCTTCTTCTTGTGTGCGACCAAGCGCTCCTCCTCCTTCTCCTTGCGATCCTTGATTTCGAGCTGCACCCTTTGCTTGAAATGGGCCAGTTTCTGCTCCCTAAATTTTCGGGGTTGTTTTAGGAACAAAGTAGCGAGACAAGTTTGAAACTTGTCGCAGACGCAGGCTGGGAAAACATTGTTCATCGGTAGCAAACAGAACGCAGTTCAAGGCGCCAACTCGCGAGGAGTCGCTTGCGGACGAAGGGCACAAGGATAAGGCCACAATTAAATGCAGGAAAATCGTCGCTACGTTCGTCTCGAGTACCGGATACCTCTACCAACGCAGAATATTTATCCCGAGCGACAGGGCAGATTTGTCCGTTGTTTCGCTGCATTGGTTACTCCCGCTTAAACCTGGAGTCGAAGGTTTTGTTTACCTGAGCCGGATACCGACTGCCAACAGCAGGATGGGAACTCCTCTCTCGTACTTCCGAGGTGTGAAGGCCCGCCGGAGCATGCTGGGGGCCTCTCACCTCTTTTCAGTGACGTCCGTCTCAATGAGAGTGCCGAGAAACCTATCCTTGACCTGGAGATCCTTTATCTCCTGCTTTCGTTTCTTCCATGACAAAGCCTCCGCTTTCTTCGCTTTCTTCTGTTTTGCTCGCACTGATGCCAGGTCGGCATAAATCTGTTGGTGTCACAAAGGGAAACGACGGTCGATCGGGGATGCTTGTGACAACAGTACGTCCCACTGTCTCACTGGATCCGTTCCATACGTAGGAGTGACACGCTGGATACTGCGAAGCATTTGCGGACACCTACTACGCAGATTGAGGACGTCCTTTGTTTGGCATGGATCCATAAGGTGGAACTATCGTTGCTTGTGAAAGTCGTTATCTTCTTAATACTCTCTACTGTTTTGCATGCCTTTCCATTTGCAGCCTCTCACCCGCCCCATCCTGCGCTCGGCGCGCGCGACTCGACTGAGGTATTCCGCCCTTTGCCTCTCCTTGTTGACCCACACCGGTGTGACGAACTCTTCGATGTCATGCTTAACAAGTTGCCATTCATGTGCCGCGAATGCTTTTACCGTGTTCTTCATTCTGTGCGCACCCCGTATTGCAGTCGACATCCATGGACGGTGCCATCCAAAAAATGGTTCGCATTCGGGGTAGGTCGTCAGTGAGAGATGTTGCCTTTTGTGTGACGTAGTCCAGGTGTGTAGATAACGATGGGAAATTCCCACTTGGACCATGTCGTGGCCCCGGGAGTATTCATCATTGATGGCACACATTAACAAAGTAAAAGACTGTCAATCAAATCGACGGCGACGGAGGAAGACTACTGCAACCAACGCGACTATACATTGCCTAGATCGCCGTCGACGGTACATATTACGTTGCCGCGACTATCCAAACTGTCCTGTGTGACTCGACTAGCGATACTGCACCGTGGATACCATGGCCGCAGCAAGATTGACTCGTTGTCTACACACCCCTACAGAACCTCTCAGAAACGTGTGCAACACATTCCTCGCCCCCATTTTTTTCTTTTTCATTTTCTCGTTCCCATGAAAAAGCGGCCTAGGGTCACGCTATTGCGGTGGTGGAATCGTCAGGATCCAGTGCCCGAAAGCAATACAACGGATATGGAACTCGCTCCTGATTAATACTATTCGTATGTTACATACGGCTTGCGAAGATCTCACAAAGTTCCGGCGAGCGTGCCTATAAACATGTGGTCTGCTGCATGATGTGTTTATTACTACCTCGCAAACCGTCTCCGTGGATCTCTTGCCGCTTTCCTGGCAGCAATGTCTTCCTTCCAGGCTAGCCTGCTGTCCCCTCGAAGATTTGACAAGCAGAGGTCGTAGGCAGCCTTTTCCTTCGCAGCCTTGGCTTTGGCCTGCGACGCACGCGAGACCACGGCATGGGTAACATATTCGTGGTGTTGTCAGAGAGTACTCGACTTAGTCCTTCCGTTTCGAATAACGACATTTCTCAATCTGCATGCAACCCCCCCATCTCCCCCTCTATCCCTCTTGTTGGACGTTTGTACAGTACAGATGATACAGTTGCTGGAAATTATTTCAACAGGTACACACCTATCGTTCGGCACGTTCAACGTACGCACGCTCGCCTACAGCGGTAGGAACCCCATCGGTCATAACGTGATAACGGTCATGCAGATTTGTTCCGCGACCGGCTGTGATGTGATAGGACTTCAGGAGACCCGACGAGAGGGGCAAGGTTCAACTACACACGACGGGTATGTGATCATCTGGAGTGGCGCCTGCGCTGGCACCAAGGACGAGTGGGGCGTACACGGTGTGGGCATAGCGATCAAGGGTGCCATGTGGGAGAGTGTGGGCGAGGATGGTAGGACGGTGGAGTGCATTAGCCCGAGGCTGATGAAGGTGCGTCTATAAATTGGCCGCACCAGCGGAGTAACCTTCGTGGTGGGGTAGGCCCCCACGGAAACTGTTCGCACCACCGCAGGCGGTGATGCTAACGCCAAGGACTCCTTCTGGACTGCGCTCGACGCATGATCCGTGAGGTTCACAGCCGTGACCATCTCGTGGTGCTAATGGACGCCAACGCACGCACTGGTAGGAGGCGAGACGGGTGCTGCGATGCCAAGATTCTGGGCGCGTATGGACGCGACATTATAAACAACAACGGGGAACGACTCCTTGGACTGGCATCAGACAACCAACTCTCCCTGACCAACACCTACTTCCCGACACCGAAAGGGGGAGCGCAGCACACATTCCAGAGCTCCAACAAGGGGAAGGAGAAGAACCGCCTCGATTTCATCCTCATGCGTCATACGGACCGGCGTTTCGTGCGTAATGTCTCCGTCAAACGTGTCGACTTCAAGGACTCTGACCACCGCGTCGTGCTTACAACTGTCCCCCTCCCCCCCCGTGTCGCACCCAACCGACGGGTGCGGGGGAACAGCGGAAGCAGCCGAATCAGTATCGACCTCGAGCGGTTAAGGAAGGACAAACACCTGCGGGTCGCCTTCCAAGACAGGGCCTCCAGCCGCCCTCCACCCACGGCGCTCAGGCGGGNCAGCACACATTCCAGAGCTCCAACAAGGGGAAGGAGAAGAACCGCCTCGATTTCATCCTCATGCGTCATACGGACCGGCGTTTCGTGNACTGTCCGCCTCCCCCCCCGTGTCGCACCCAACCGACGAGTGCGGGGGAACAGCGGAAGCAGCCGGATCCGTATCGACCTCGAGCGGTTGAGGAAGGACAAACACCTACGGGACGCCTTCCAAAACAGGGCCTCTAGCCGCCCTCCGCCCACGGCGCTCAGGCGGCCAACGGGAGAGACCGCCGCCGAGCTGACGGCTATGGTGATGTCGGCCGCTGCCGAGACCGCGCCGCTGGCAAGGTGCGCACGAGGGCAGAGAGGCTGGTAAATGAGCGAAGCGCAGCACGAGATCTCCGAAGCGTCTAAAGAGACTAGGGCGGCCCAACAGCAACTGCGTGGGGCCTCAAAGAACAGCGCCTTCGAGGCGACCCTGAAGGCGATGCTCAAGGCGGCGCGGAAGAAGCGCAGCATCGCGAGGTGGAGAGGACTGGAAACGTTCTTCGAGGGCTATGTACGGCAGCTCGAGAGGATCAGGCGGGTTTCTACAGGCAACTGAAGATGATCGACGTCGAAGGTAAGAGGTCGTTCACCTCTCAGAACATCAAGGACGAGGACGGCAAGGTCCTTCGGGACCCCACGTTTATTCGCCAACGGTGGGCACGGTGGTTCCACAAGCTTCTCAACACCAAGTCGCCGACCATTGACCTGCATGCGGCTGACAAGGTCAAGCGGTGGCCCACGTGCGTGCCACTCGACGACATCCCATCTCTACTTGAGGTTGAGGAAGCGGTACGGGAAATGGCCAACAGAAAGGCCGTCGGGCCGGACGACCTACCGGCTGAGCTGATCAAGCTTTTCCTGGACGGAGATCAAGGCCTCCTCCGCGAATTCCACGCCATCGTCGTAGACGTGTGGCAGACGGGGGACGTACCACAGCAGTGGAAGGATGCCACCATCAAA